TTGAAGTGGAAAATCACTAGTTACCATTCATGCACTAACTCTGTTCACCTTGTCTTTTACTCATATAGCCGCAGTGTCCACTCTTTTAATTGAGAAGTAAGTGAGGACGCCCTGATCAATTTTAGGTTGAGTATCAGGTTCGATATATATATATATATATATATTAATGTAGATATTAATATTATTTATGTAATTTTTATTTTTAAAAAATTTTATTTATCTTTAATAGTTTTAATTTTTTAAATAAATTAAAAATATGCATTTGGGGTGGGCTTTCGAATTCAATGACGTCAAGTTATGTGTAAGTATATTCCTTTTATCTCAGGTCAATGGTTCGAATTCGGTTCATTGCGAATTTGTTTAAAAAATAATAATAAATAAATTAAAAATATAATAATTTATTAATAATTTTATATTTACTTTTTATTAATTATTATTTAAATGTTTTTTATTTAATATATAAACGTTCTAAGTTAAAAGTTACGTCTTAGTTGAGGCAAATTAATTGAGGGGTATTAATATTGAATGGGAACTGTTGTCCATAGGAATAATTTGTACATGTCGGTCTTGTAAGTAATGGAGTATTTCTTATACTCTAAATAAGAAAAGTTTTTTTAATGTTTAAAAAAAATAGAAATTAAGTCTATTGCAATTGAATGGAAGGAGGATGATTTAAGTTTACAATTTTAATATATTAGTAAAAATATATATAATATTATAGATACGTTTTTAAATAAAACGACTTAAAGTATTGTTTGCTTTAACTTATTGAAAACAATTACTAGTTGTTAATTTTAATTAAACAGATTAGATATTTTAAATTATAAACATCAATAATTATTAATCATCAGATATTAATTATTAATTATCAATTGTTTTAGAAAAGTTAATCTAAATATTTTTAATCATACAATGACAAATTAATATTATAAACTTATAATGTCACGTAAGACTGTAATTTTATAATTTTTTAATCCTTTTTTCAGCCCAAAACCTATGCCCAAAAGTAATTTCATATCAAGAAGAATAAGAAGAGATTTTAGATTTAAATTGTACAATATATAGTGAAATGAGTAAAATAATGAGAGAGAGTTACTCCTGTTATGCAAATCAACAAAAAATAAAAAATAAAAAATACCCACCAATTAACTAAGTTCGATAGGTTATTCAAGTTAGTATCCAATTCAAAACTTTGAATTTGGGTTATATATAGTTTCTTTAAGTGATATTATTTTCATCCCATATGATGTTAACGTCACACAAAAAAAATATATATATATAATTTTTTACCCATATATAAATAAAAGAATTGACTTTTTTATTTTGGATAGTGAAGGGGGAAAAGGATTCAAATCCATCATTTTGGATAAAAAAGCGCAAATACAACCTTTACAATTATAATTAAGCACACTGACCTCTTTAATTTTAAAAGAAAATTTTCTAATTGAACTGTTCGTTCCGATTCAATGGTATTAGACTTTGGGTTAGGGCTGCTTACCTCTGTGGATGACGTGTTCGAGTCTCATGAAACTCATTTTTCTTCCCCCATATGTACCGATAAATAATGTCAAAATTATTAAAAAAAAAAATTTTCTAACTGCAAGAGTATGCCTAGAATGGAAAATCATCCAACTTTTGACTTTTGGAACCAAAACTTTGGCACAAGAAAACGACCCTAATTGGCTACATACATAACATTAGTCTTTGATCGATGGCATCCAAAATTGACCTCTGACTCCTACTCCCATAGAATATTAATAATGTCGTTAAACGGCTAAAACCACACATTTACACATTCTAAAAAGAGAAATATTATTTTTAGTTTTAACTAATAAAATAAATCATATTTCAGATGAAAATAAAGGTTATGATGTTGTGAACATTTTTTTGTTAGTATGAATGGAAGAGAATATTTATGTTTTAATATTCATTGTATTAAAACGAATTTAATTCACACGTTTTAAACAATATGTTGTGTCTACGTCAACTTCTAGTCCTATGAAAATGGCAGCTGCTGCTAATGCATGCTTAAGGAAGGCAGACTACAAAACCCAACCATCAAGCTTTTCAACGCATGCACTCTGCATATATACATCACCTTGTATGTTAATAAATAAATTAATTGTACCATGATTTTAATGGTAAAGTCAACATTTTGAAGAAACATTAATTAACAACAAATGTTGCCCTTGATGACTAAGATGGGGATCCTAGTGTCTTGATTTTAGATTCCAACCCTATTGTATACAATAGTTTAGTTCAACATATATATAAGCTCTGTTTAGTTATAATTTCATTTAGTTTTATTAAACTTTCTTATAAATTAGGTTTAAACCTCATTTTGATCCCAAAATTATTGTACGGACCTCAATTTGGTCCCTAAACTAAAAAAATCTCTAATTTGGTCCCTATTGTTTATCATTTTAACCTTGATTTGGTCCTTCCATTAAAATTCTACCTACGATGTCCAGTTAATTTACTGTAACATGATGACATGGTAATATATTAATACACGTGGAAGACAATTTGGCAAAAACTGATGACATGAAAAAAAAATATTAATATCACAAAAATTTTTTTTTTTAATTC